GGGGGGGGGGGGGGGGAAACGTGCAAACTATCGTGCAAACGAGTGTGTAAACACGCACACACGCACCAGGCCGTGTTCCAACTTGCATCGATGGTGAAACCGCACTCGCGTCGCGCGAGATTGCGACTGTCCAAACCGCGATCCACCGATCCACCAGACCGGTCTAACGAAAAGAAATGATCGTCGTGGATAGATGTAAGCTGGACGACGGCCTGGCACGTAATTACGAAAAAGTGGTGGCTGCATCGTCGCGCAGGCCACCGTAAACGCACAGGTACATTTGGTAGCGAGAACATTGAGCTTAAATCCTGTGAACGGCGAGCTCTGACTGGTGTGCTTACAACTGCAACTGGTCGGAAAACCGCTAGAAAATATTTGCAAATCTCGCAATGTTCTCTACCTGAAATATCCACAATGCTCGAGAGGACATTTTCAACCGGGAATTCCGTCTGTTCGCGCAACGAAGATAAATTTATGCCTTTTCAGGATAAAGAACGGTCTCTCGGAGAGAGAGAGAGAGAGAGAGAGAGAGAGAAACGTGTCAGATCCCTTTCAACCGTTGAGCTGGCGATGTGAACGTCAAGTATGGAGAACAATTATTTTCACATCTCCGTTTCAAGGAGGTTGTAAAGTGAAATGAGTTTGACAAGAATTCAATGTAACCACGTGTACATTGAAATATGGTTCAACTACTCGTGCAATTAGAGAGAGATTGACCATTCGAGAACTACGATATTTGCAACTAAAGTCGACGCTTTTGATACGTGTTGCTTGAGAGTTAGCATACTACTTTTAATTTCTATTTTTAATATCTTCTAAATGATAAAAATAAGATTTTGTTAAAAAGATACCGATGATGTTAGAAATTAATATACAGACATGATGTGTACAAATTTCAGAATTGCCGACCATCTTGAAAATACAGCGGTGTGAAGTTCATAATTTATAGTAACACTCGAAATATGTATAAATATGCATATTTGAACATTTATGTTATACCTCTTCCTACCATTTTCACATCTCTTTTAAACCCACCGATGCATAAATGTAGTATTAATAAAAAAAAAAACAACTAAAAAAAATAATATTTTTGTATTCGTGATATTGTGTTTACCTTGACATTTCATACTAAATTTATGAACGGTCCCCTGACGTTGAAAGTACGACATTGAGCCTTACAACCTCCTTCAGGCTGGATTTAAGATAACAACCTCGCTTCAAGGCGTAAGCATTAAGCAAATTGACCAATCACAGTCGTTTACTCGCAGACCGTAAGAAGAATAATCGAGCGTGGCCGGTCAATTTGCTTACTTCTCAAAGCGAGGATTGTAGACCCGCAGCCTTAAACGCAGATCGATATAACCGATCTCTAATTAACGGAACGCTCAACCTGGAAACTTGCTCGAGTCGAACGAGCGGAAAGAACGACTTTTTCCCCTCGGATTTCGCGCAACTCGTCGCAAAGTCTGCGGCTGAAAGGGTACCCGCGGACACTCCGTTACGCAACGGAACTAACTACTTAAGGATTAAAACAACTGTCGCACAAGATCCGTGTGGTGGTCACGTGGGCTCGTTGGTCGGAAGCCTCGGCGATTTGGAACACGGCCCGGTGTCACTGTCTGTACACGCCGGCGTTGTTGAGGAGCCACTCACCTGCAGCCCGTTTACTCGGCTCCTGCACCTTCTTGGCCGGCATCGTCCTCGTCGGCAAGACATCGCGCACGTCCGCGGTATCGAGCGGCTTTACGATAACGTCTAATCGCTCGTTGTCGATCGCCGTATCCGTCGTCGTCGTCGTCGTCGTCGCGACGCGCCTTGAATCGAGCGCGTCTCCGGGATGTTCCGGCAACCCTCGCCCCGAGTCCGCTATCGAGTCGCGCTGCTGCTGCTGCTGCTCCTGGAGTAAGCAGGCGCTCGACAACAAGTCCCATTGGCGGAGCTTCTCTCGGTCGAGCTCGAACGACGCCGCGGACACTCGGGCGTCCGATATCGAGCGAGCCGGGGGAAGGTTGCCGTCTTCTAAAAAATGATTCGTCGCGTCGACCGCCGTCCCGGGCTTCCGGTGGTAGGCTTCGTTCTGCGGGTCCCACACGTAGCCGGCCGCGCCGACGCGCTCCATCGACAGGCTCGCGTCGACATCCTCGTCCTCGTCCGACACCGTTCGTTCCTTGTTCGTCCTGCGTTTAACTCGCGGCCGCTCCTCCGCGCAATTATCCCTGCGCAGCGCTACGCTGTCGTTCACGTAGGTGACACCCCGGGTGATCCTGCCACGCGCCGACTTGGATCCGCCTGCTCTCGGCGGACTGTCCAGGTTGTCCAACGACCGGGCGTTTCGCAGGCTCACCCTCCGGAGGCTCTCGAACCAGAGGGTGTCCTGCTCCCAGGGGTCCTCCTGGTGGAAACTGCCGTCGCTCGCTGCCGCGTGCTCATCGGTCGACGCGGCGAGATCCTGGGGGGGCGCCTCGACCTGGCTGCTGGCCGAGGCGGCGGCGGCCGCCGCCGCTCGGTTCCGCTGCTCGACCAGATTCTGCAGGCCGACGTCGTCCAGCAATCCCTCGAGCGACCTGGACCTGCGATGAGACGTCTGCGCGACGACGTGCGTCGTCGACTCGGCGAGGTCGGCGGCCGGCTCGGCGGACTTGTCCCTGAGACCGTGGGGGTACAAGTTCCTGGCGTTCACCTCCGAGAGAGGATCGGTCGACTTGACGCGGCGCAGCGTGTCCGCCTCGTAGAAGTTCCTCTTGTCCACCAGGGCGGCCTTGTCGTCGGCCAGCAACTGGCAGGTGGTGCGCCTCAGCTCGGCGGCGATGCGTCTCGCCTCGTCGATGTCGTCCACCCGGATCTGCCTGGGCATCTGCCGCGCGATCGGATTCACGATGCGGCCGATGTCGTTCCTCTTGTTCGGCCCGCTCGCGTCGTCCCGCTGATTGTTCAGCTGGGGCAGCCGCGAGGTGTGGCCGATCGGCTTGGCCGGTTCGGCGTCCGCGTTGGCCTGCAGGTCGGAATAGTAATAGGGCGCGCCGGATTGGTCGGCGCTCGGCGGCGCGCGTTGCTCGTTCGGCAAGTACGACTTGCTCCGCGCCGGCAGCGGGTAGTGGCTCGAGTCCTGGCTCGAGGTGGATCGATGGTGCGGCGGCATCAGCAGCGTGTGCCGCACGCACTCGTGGCTGGCGGAGCGAGAGTGGCTCGGGAAGCGGCGCTGCTCCGACACGAAGGTGACGGGCGATTGCACGGAGGAGGACCGGGCGCTGGCCGGCCTCTGGCACGCCATGGAGGCGAGCGAGTAGCCGCTGGACTCCCTGCTGTGGGAGACGCACTGGGGGGGCGGCGGCGGCGGCTCGCTGTCGGGCCGGACCGCCGGGGAGCCGCGGAGCGGCGAGAACCTCGCGACGTTCTCGTAGTGCGCGTCCCCGGTGAAGGACTGCGAGTGCTGGTGGGAGGGCGGCAGGTCGGACACTCTCATGGAGGGCAGGCTGCTCGCGGAGCCGGTCTTGTTCTTGCAGCCGAACGGCCGGTCCAGGTTGATCTTCCTCGAGAGCTCCTGGCACGCGGTCGTCTTCTGCAGCTTGTCCACCACCAGCATGTTCTCGTTGAAGCCGTAGATGCTGTTGTAGCTGAGATCCTTCGCGTAGAGGTCGACGTTGAACGCGTCCCTCGCCTGCAGCTCCTCCAGGTACCGGTCCAGGTCGATGCTCGCGCCGTCGAAGCGGCTGCCCAGCGACTCGTACTCGTCGAGGCTGTCGAGGGCGCCGCACACGTCGTCGCTGACCGGCCTCCTCTTCAGCCGCCGGTGCCTTTCCTCGTCGTTCCGCAGCTCGGCCGCCGTGTCGCTGCCCGACGCGCTCTCCAGCGAGATCCTGCTGTCGCGGAAGGTGGAGCTGACGGTCGCGTCCGAGAAGCGCGACGGCGGTCTGTGCGCTTCCCGGCTCGGTCCCGCCTCGGCGGCCACCTTCTGCATCTCCAGCGAGTCCAGGTCGTCCAGGGGCGGCGGGGAGGTCGGTATCGGCGGCGGGGAGACCAGCTCGCTGTCCGACGAGTCGTGCAGCTCGGCGATCAGGTTGCGGCTGGCGCCCAGGTAATAGGACGCCGGCCGGAAGGTGTCGGACAGGCTGAATCGCGGATGCCGGGGCGCGTCGATCGAGTCCAGGTCCTTCGACGACTCGTCGTCGGCGTCGGAACTGTCGGACTTGAGCGCGGTCAGGATGTCGGGCAGCTCGGCCCGGTGGTGCGCCTCGCTCGCGCCCCCCTCCTCCCCCTTCTCCGACAGCTGACTCACCTCCATGTACACCGGCTCCATCTTGCTGTCCGACACGCAGACGAACTCGTAGTGCGAGGCGTCCAGCGTGGAGTAGTCGCCGGAGTCGCGCTTCCCGTCCTCGTTCGGCGCCAACAGCGAGCGAGCCATCCCGTTCTGCGCCATCTCCACGTACGAGCTCTCCTCGTGCTCCAGATTGGCGAACAGGCTCTCCATTATCTTCGGATTCGGCCGGTCGTCGCAGTTCGGGTCGAGTATGGCCTTCCTGGGCGACATGGGGAGGTAGTGGTCCTCGGTGTTGACGTCGTCCTGCTGCTTGCGAGTCAGCGAGGACTCCGTCGAGGAGACGGCGGCGGCCGGCGGCGGGCTGTCTGTCGGCTCGGAGGAGCTGTCCTCCTCCGCGTCCCTCTCCTTCGACGACTTCTCGCTCTCGGCGCTCGGCTTCCGCCGGCCGCCGGCCTGCTGCGACTTCCGCTCGAAGTTCGCCAGGAGGTCCTTCACCGACTTGTTGCTGTCGGTCGAGGCCTGCTTGGCGTGCCGGCCGCCCTCTTCGCCCAACGCGAAGCTGCGTATGACGGACGGGCTGCTCCTGTTCGCGCACTCCAGCTTCGAGACGTGAGCCTCGGTCGCCTGCAGCGGCGAGATCTTCAGCGGCTCTTGCATCGACAGGATCTCTCTCACGGGGCTGCTGCCACCGTCGATGCTCATCTCGAACGAGCGGATGCGGCACTGCACCAGGTTCATCGTCTCGTCCGCCTCCTTCGGCTTGATGTACTGATAAGAGAACTCCTTGACCACCTTGCTCTCGTCGATGCCGGGATCCCACTCGTCGTCCTTCGCGTCCCACTGCACGTTCTTCGAGACGTGGCCCCAGGTCTCGCTCGCCGTGCGATAACCGCACACACTGTCCGGCCTGAATTGCTGAGACGACGACGTCGTCGTCGTCGTCGTCGTCGTCTTCAGGATCCCCAGCGGTTTCCTCGAGGCGTTCTTCGCTCGGTTCGCGGATTCCTCGAGCGCGCTCTCCTGCTTGTCGCCTGCCGGCGCGTACTCGCTTCTCATCGGCGGCGGCGGGAAGCTGACCTCGTCGTAACCCGCGTCCGGCGGTATGCCGCCCAAGGAGGAGCGCGCGCCTCCTCCCCCCGCCGCTTTGCAGCGAGCGTTAAGCGCTCGGCCGGCGGGTAACTCCTGGACGGCCGATGACCGGTCGTCGCCGGCGTGTCGGGGGCTCCTTCCTGCATGCGAAGGTCTGCGCGTACGCTTCCTCCGGACATCCCCCAGCTCTGATTCGTTCGTTACAAAACACAAAGACACGAGTAGCTCCGTTACTTACGAGTACGTGTTTTTTTTTTTTTCGTTGGAAAGAAATTAATGAAAAGTAAGAGGAGGACAAAGAAAGAAACAGACCATTTTTAACTTTCCCAATTGTACCGCGTTCAACCCCCGTGTACGCTGGAAAGTGAGAGCCCGGTTGGATCTCCGCTCTGATAACGGACGAAACCCCGAACGCGTTTCGCTCGCAGGAGGGAACGAACTCTGCTTTCCTTCGAGCGAAGCGCGTTTGTCGGTCGTTCATCGTCAGGGTAGATTCGTCAACCGGATTCCGATTTTTCAGCGCGCGTTCACCGTACAATTTCCAGCCGCATCGCTCCCAAGCCAGCTCGCCAAGCGCGATCGCGAGGATCATTGCATTGCGATCGGTTGACGCCCGGCCCTTTCTCTGTGTGGTAGTTATCAACGATTGAAGGAATCTGAATCGTCGTCCGACTCGTCGGCTTTGGCAGAATTCGGACGTGCGCGCGCCTCGAGTCGAGAGGATACGAAGAAATGTCCGCGAACGGCCGTGCAATGACCCCGACGATCGGTCGGGCGATGCCGCGAGTTAATCGAGTCGTACGTAGCGGACACACGGAAGGTAAAGAGAAACCGGCGCAATCGTAAACAGCGCAGCTACGGGCAGCTAGTGTGTTAGTGAGATCGTTCGGCATGCCATGCTGACCGAGATCCGGATTGTTAAGTCGCGCGCCAAGGAGAGGGGAGGGGGGATGCTCGGTTTTAAAGATTGTTAATCGGTATTTCCCATTCACCAGTCACAGCCCAGACCCAACAGCAGCAGATAGAAGGAGCCCCGCTCGGAGAAACGCTCGCAGATATCCAGGATTTCTCGACACTTTCCTCTCCTCCTCGTCTCGGTCGTTACACGCCGGCCTCCTCGTCGGCGCCCCGGCGAGGAGGGAGTTCTCCACGACACATTGTTATTATTAGCGTAAACGGTGGCGTGAGCGGACAAATGAAGGACAAGAAAGCAACCTTCCGCAGGACACACGCTTGACGAGTCGCGCGAACAATTCGGCCGCCGCCACTCGCATTCATCGCGGCGGACGCGACCACGCACACACGCACGCACGCACACATTGTCTCGGCACTACCTTTGTTAGACTACGGCTCGTAATCCTTCATACGGCTAATCGTTAATTGAGATGCAATTTACGTGCTGTTTTTTTTTTTTTTGCAATTTGCGGTATCCAGGGAAATCGATCGAGCACTCGAAGGAAGTAGATAGTCGCGCGTGCGATCGACACCATTCACAAAGGCGCAAGGTTCTCCGACCGTGCTGCGTGTTCCCGCGTGTGAGAAGGATGCGTTTCCGCGAGCGATTATTATTATTATTATTATTATTATATGCACACCGGACACTTCTCTCTCACCGTGTTAGAGGTTAAACATGTTAGAGTCTGGATTACCTCTAGCTCAGGAGGACAACTATCTACTATGCTTAGAGATCGAAAAAGTCGCGAATACGTTTTGGCGTTTGCGAGGGACTCGCGGTAATCAGGCCCGACGGGCTCTCTCGATGATCGTACGCTGAGAGAAATTTTAGTTACTTTCGGCCTCAACCAATTTCATGGTTTCAAGACACCCCCCCCCCACGCTGTGATAATCTTGTTCGATGACGTCAGAAATGAGAAAACACATATTGGCCCCCACGGATTCCTATTGGCCGGTCTGAGTACGGTGACACTAACTAGAAAACTGCTTCTCCCGATTACGATTCCCAGCGAATACCAACCGACGGTAACGCAACATCAATGTTATCATTTCGACGAAGTAAATGCAATGTAACGTGCGACGTAACGCGCGTTACGTAACAGTTACATCGCTGAAGCGGAGGAATTGTAACACCGACGTTACATTACCGTCAACTGATGTTCGCTGGTTTCTTTCACGCTGTGACGATTGAATATTTTTCTCTCAATGTGCGAGCCGGAACACGCGGAGGGCGACGCTTCGCGACGACGCTCCTCCGCGCGGTGGAGCGCCCCTCTCTCTCTCTCTCTCTCTCTCTCGGACGTCCGCGTTTCTCTCGTGAAATTCTCGCAATTCCACGACGTGCATCTCCTACCGGGTCGTCCCTCCGCGCAGGCCAACACGACGAAAGCACGATAAATTAAATAATCAGTTCAGGCGAGCTGTCCCTACCTTCGTCATCGCTGGAGTAGCTGTTGTAACGCGGCACGTTGGCGGCGGCGGTCCGCCGGCCGTCCGAGCTTTTGCTCCTGACGTGCGAGCGATGCCCGTCCTCCCGCCTCCGCGAGTGACGGCCTTCCGCCACGGCGGCCTCGTGCGCCGCCAGATCCAGCAACGCCTGTTGCTTGTAGTAACTCGAGAGGTCGTTCTGCGCCCTGCCCCGGCTGGCCGAGCCGGACGGCTTACGCGTCAGCGGTGACTGCAGCATGCGCTGCTTCCACTCCAGCAGCCGCTTCATCGACTCTTCGCGCTGAAAGGCGAATCGGAAGCGCGGATCTTCATTGAACGGTCGTCTCAATTGCCCGCGAGAAAGTCTGATCGTCGACGCGACGGTGAGTAACGCGATAGTCAGCCGGTTCGATCGATCGGATAAGTGAGAGCGACGTGGGACAGACAGACACGATGACGTGTGGAGCGCGACTACGCAACACAGGCGACGTCGTGATTCATCGTGCTGGACACGAGCGATGTTACCGAGGCGCGATTGTCTCCTCAGGTTGGGATGTTAATGACCGCACTTTCGACGGAACAGGTCGGCTGATTCATCCCTCCCCCCCCCCTCCTACCCCTCGGCTCTACCAGGATGCCGGTAAAATTCGAAGCAGAACGTCTCGGAGGAACTTACTTCCACGTATCGGTTGTTGCGTCACGGTGGTTACCTTACGTACTTCAGTTTTAATTCGTAGAGGAGATTCGAGGCTGATCTGCGCGACGGGCACAGCTTGCTCGCGCATTTTTCGTTTGCGCGTCACGAGGGAGACGATGGAAAAGGAATGGCAAAGTGCCGCTTTATCCGGAGTTTCACTGAAAATCNNGGGGGGGGGGGGAGGGGATATCGCTTCTGGTCTCTCGCTGCTGCAATGGTTTTTTTTTTTTTCGTGGCATCGAGGAGGCGAAAAGCGCAGACAAACGCGACAAACGCGAAATACATCGAACCGGAGAGGATATGTTCGCGACACTTGTGATCGATTGGGAATATTTGTAAAGTAATTCAAGTTCATTTCGCAGCTATCTATGGTCTCCTCGACTGTGTGTATAAATTGATATCGCTTACGTCCCATCCTCGCCTTGATATTACTTCGATGTTACAAGTATATCCTAGCAAGACTCCGCCCTTTCTCGGATGTTCGGGTATTCTCGAGAAAAAGTGATCCGCGCGCGAAACGAAGGAGATTTCTCTCACCTGCTGAATCTTGCGCTCGCCATCCCGCGAGTCCTGCTCGGAGGACCTCTCCGCGTAGTCGTCGTCGTCCGGGTCGAGGGCGGCTGGATGCCGTGTCCTCGGTAGACGCGCCGAGGCCGATCTACAGAACTGCTGCTGCTGCTCGCTCCATCGTCTGCTGCCACCGGCCGCGTAACCGGCGTGACACGTCTGAGAGATGTGAGCGCCGTGGCCCCCCGCTCTTCCCCACCCGGCGTCGTACTCGCGCGGCAACACTCTCCGCGGCACCGTCTTGTCCTCGCCGTTCGCCTCGCAGCTCTTCTCGCGCAGCGATCGCCGCAGCTTCGGATCGCCGCCCATTATCCTGCGTGGACAACGAACGGCTCAGACGTGAGTCGAATTTGAAGAATCAATGCCGTTTCGCCGCTTCGGGACACCGAATCGCAGATTCGAAAATTACGTGGACGATTCGAGCTCCTCCGACCCTCCCGATAGATCTCGCGCGACGGGGAGTCACGCTGAACTTTGCCTCACGGGAATACATCGCGACGGAATTTCACGCGGCCTCCCGGTTTCCCTAATCGCTTATTCCGACAATGCGACTGTGACTCACTCGGAATGTCTCTGCGTCAGCGACTGAGCGGGCATCGTGTGCTGCTGATGAACGTGATCTCGCTGCGAGCGCCTCAGCGCGGGACACGCCGACGACGAGTCCGCCGGTAGCGTGGATATTCGGCCTTCGTCGGGCTTGTCGCGGATACCAGGCAGTTTCGGCTGCATCGTGACGCGCGACAGGGACTGATTCCGCTGCTGCTGCTGGTAATGCTGCGGCGTCTGGTGCAGGTAGACCGCGGACTGTCGCATCTGCGCCGCGTACCTGCGTAGCGCGAACGTGAATGCGGGGAATGCGGAAGGCGCGAGGAGGTGTTTCGAATCCTTTAGCACCTTCTCGTGTCTTGCCGTTTGACACATTAGACGCGCGTTAACTCGCATATGTTTAACGCGACAATGTCACGAGATTAAACGCGTTTTAAACGACGTAAGCTGAATCGGCAAGAAATCGAGAACAAAGTCATTTTGGTACGTCGGCTTCGTTTCCCACCTTCTTTCGTTTCCTCTGTAATCCGTTCTCCGTTCTCTCTCTCGGCGCTCGACGTTCGAGGAGACGAGAAAGCGGGGACGAGCCCGCACAGACACTTTCCCAAATATTCTGTGTTCCGCGAGTCGATGATTATTATTTTCGGATCGTTCGATCGACTTTGTCGAATTTTCCAAGGCAAGAAAAACGGACGAGTGTGGGTTTACCTCTCCTCGGAGTAGAAGTAGCCGTCGTTGGTGGTGTCCGACGGATTCACTATGTCTAAGCTGGACTTAGGCCTCTGCGGACGCCTCTGCTGATTCGGGAGTTTCTCGCACGGCGCGGGTTGCTGCTGCGGCCTCCTCGCCGCCTCGTACTCGAGGAAGTCCGCGCTGTGCGGCCGCGGCGGCGGTTGACCTCTGGATTGTCTCGCCATCGACACTGAAGGAAGCAAATCGGGTTCTTCGAGCTATCATCTCGCGTCTCGGCGGCATTACGATAATAACCTTCTCCCGACGTTCTTCCTTCGCAACTCGAGGAAAAAAGAAGGCTCGGATCCTTGAGGGGAAGAGCCTGAAGGGAGGATCGGTTCAAGCGGTTGCTTCGCGCGAGGGACACGGCTCGTTATAACTTTCATCGTCGCGGCAATTATCACGGCGCTGAGAACCTTTTCCCGAAGAAGAGGAGGACAGTCGTCGTTCAACTTCTCAACGACGGAATCTCTCGCATTACGAGATCGCCCGCGATTCCCCGGGCACGCTCAGAAACGGGGTGGTCGCTGATTGCGAAAGCTTCCGCGCGGCGTAAATAGCACACAGGTCGGAGTCGAAAGGACTTCTCGAGGAGAGACTCACCGTTCGGCGGCGCTACGGGCGAGTGCATCTGCTGCTGCGCTGCGTAGAGGGGGATGGGGATGGGCGCCGGCGAGGTGCCCTTCGTATAGCCGACCGGTCCGGCCGGCCTCTGGTAGAGCTGCGGCGTGCCGTAGACCTCCTCGTAGTCGCCGTTCCCCCGGCCGGTTCTGGGCTTCGCGCTGCGGCCGTACGTGTCCGGGGTCCTCCTCTCGGTCGGCTGGGTCTGCCCGTATCCGTAGTTCAGGCCGGACTTGTCCGTGCGCAGGCTCTGCTGCGACGGCTGATTGATCCGCGCGGCGTAGATCGCATTACGGCCGCTCTCGTAGTCGGACATCGGGCTCTTGCTGGTCACCGTGACGTCGGGCGAGACCGGACTCTTCCGGTAATCCGCGTCCGGCGACGGCGTCGAGTACTCGTTGGAGCCGTCGGTCAGTCTCCGAGGTTTCGGCGGCGCGTTCGCGTAGATCGGCTGTCCGAATTTGCGAGACAACGGCTGCGCGCCACCGACGACGACGTGCTGCGGTTGCGGCGCCGGTTGCTGGCCCGCGTGCTTGTGCGAGAGGTGCAGCAGCGCCTGGTGCTGGTGCGAGTGGCCCGGCAAGTGGCCGTATTGCTGGGCGTGATGCTGCGCCGCGGGAGGCTGCGAGGTGCCGGGCTGCTGGATCCAGCCGTTCATCAGCGGATGCGACGACTCGCTCGCGTGGTTGCCGTTGCTGTTACTGCCGCTCAGGTTCGGGAATGAGGCGGTGTTCGCGCTGTTCGGGCTGGAGTTGTTGTTGGACGCGTGGCTGGGGTCGTCGCGCGACTGGAACCCGTGGAAGCCGGAGTCGCTGTCGTCCGCGCTCTGGTTCAGGATCGACGAGATCGAGGAGACGCTCGGCCGGGCGCTCCGCTCGCCGTCCTGCTGCCCGGCTATCTCGATCACCACCGCGGCCTCGCCCGCGCCACTGTGCGATCAAAACGTGTACAGATGTATATTCCGAGTTACTTTCGGCCTCAACTTTCACCCCCCCCCCCCTCCCACCCTTTTTTAGTTTCAACAGGGGTGAAAAATATGTAGGTGATACGTGTGACGCTCATTGGAAAAGTGATTCTCCTGATTACGATTCCTCTGCTCTATAGTCGCGGTATCACGGTTACAAACGCGCGTTCCCTCGGATATTTCCTTTGTCCCGTCGATTTTTCACACGCCGGGCGAAATGTCGTCGCAATGGTACGCGCCGAGCGGCGGTGGTAATAGGTTTCCCACGATCGGAGATGAAGAAAGTAACTCGGCGGTAATAAAATTTAACGCGCCGCCGGGGGGGGGATGTGTAATATATGCGGCGATCCAATTTGAAGATCGGATATACCCGTTTCATACATACCATTAGTGAAATTAGTCGTTGCTCGACACGCTGAATATGTATGAGCGAGAAGACTCATTTTTAATATCCCACTTGCTCTCCGATTCCGCACGCGTTTACCCGTCGAATTTGAATTGATCGCCGTCGATCGCTGAAAAAATCCCTCGTCTTACGTAGAACGCGGTGGAATTAATTCCCGCCCGTTGCTGCCTCGCTCGCCGAAGCGCATACTGAAAAATCGCACGCTCCGACCTTCTTCCGCTCCCCATCCCCCCCCTTTCCTTTCTTTCCTTCGACCGTGTAAATCGAGCTCTTCGGTTGGGAAATGGACTCGCCGGGCGCTCGCGAAACGAGCGAGCCATTGTCCGTCGGCGTGTCGCTGACAACGCGCTAATGGACAACGGGCGAGTACAGGCGGCGTTTCGAATAACTCCCGAGAAAGTACGAGGCGGAGGTAGGTAGGCGAGTAGTTACGACGCCGACCGTCGCCGATACTTTCGCGAATCAACTTCCGGTCCAATTCGTGATGCATCGGAACTTCGTCGGCGCTCGGGCTAATTTCGAGATCCTTGCGCGGGACCTCCGACCCGAGTTTCACGTCTGGAGGGCGAAACCCGACACCGAGCGCGCCCGACCGACACACATCTGTATTCAACGCACACTTCTTTCGCGTAATAAACAAGCGTAAAGGAACCACGTTTCGCAATTATTTATCACGTACATAATAACGTCAGTCTTGCGTTTACACACGGCGTTACATCCTGACCTGAAGCGCAACATGTTGAGGATATTTCCAATTTGTGAGAATACCGTTCCCTTTCACGTTGCGGAAAATTCAACCGATGAAAAGATAGCAGAGAGAAGAGAGATCCATGCCCGTACATTGATTTCCCTGTTCCCCAGGTCAACGCTGAAAGATCAAAGAAATTTCGCTCCGTCCGATACCACGATGTCGATGGGAGCGCTTTCTTACCCCGGATCGCGGCGAGTCCCGCGATACAAATCGCGAGGCTACGACGGGCGGGAAATTTTCATAATATTCAAACACGCCGGAATTCATGAATTCTGGAAGACCGAGCGGAACGCGGACCGGGAACCCGTACGAGGGACGTCGGGGCGAACAAAGCGCGCAGCGTCGTGTTGGGGGCGCGCGGTAAAACGTAAAACGAAAGCGCGAATACGGAGGAAAGTGGCGGGTAGAGAATATTCTTCTGATTTCGCGATACTTCCCGAGGACTCCTATCGTCCGCCCTCATATTGTGCGTGTTACCAACCCGTCGATAAACAAAGTGAAACACGAAAATCGAGGACCGCGTCGCTCGCTGACGGAGGAACGTAAAGAATTCAAGTTGCCGGGGAGAGAGCGATTGTGACGAAAAACGCGGGAAAAACAATAACGGTATCGCGCGCTTTGTCTCTCCGTTCGTTTCATTCAATTGGCGTGATTGCCGCAAATGCCGAAGCGTAACGGCCGAGCGAAAGGGAGCTTCTCGATTTTACTCGCGACCCACCCGTGATTATGACCAATCGCTGCGGAAAATGCGCGCTTTTCGCGCCGATTCCCGAATTGTTCTGTTTTACTTTTAATTGGGGCAACGAACGACAATGAGTTCCACGCCCTCCGTTCCTGCCAGCCACGAAGCTCTCGCAGCTTCGCGTATGCGCGCACGTAAGGTCCCGTAATTATCCTGCACGACTGAATATCGCGTATAATTTCAGGAGGCACTCACGGGCTGGGATCCTGCAGAAGAGTCGCCAAAGTCAGCGCGTTCACCCACTGATTCATGCTCTCGCGACTGTCGGCTGCGAAGTGGTAAGTCCTCATGTTCGCGTGTTCGGCCTTGAAGGCGAACTTCTTGTTGACTTTGTCCTCGGGTTTGCACACGGTGACACGGTACGAAGGTAGTAATATCGAACCTAGCAGTTTCTCCTCTTCCGGACCTGAAAATTAGCAAATTGCCACGTTACGTTGCCCGTCGCGCGAGGCTATTCAAAGCGAGCGTAGACAACGAAACTTTCGTCGGAAACTTGCTCACCGGGATTTTCTCCCGAAAAGCAAGCAGGGGTATTTTCACCCCACGATGCATTCCATCAAAGTCAAAGATCAAAGCAATAACAAAGTGGCTATTGTGAAAAGGAGCATCGGACAAAATCATTAACTCCTCGCTAACCGTTGCGAATTTTGCCAAGTGGTACACGGACTTTTCCGTTCAGCTTCATCTGTTCTACTCGCGGGATCCGAGATTAGTCCGAGACATCCTATATACATTTTTACACCTTTCCGATGCGACTCCATTTTTGATCGCGGACAAAAGAGCACGTCGCAAAAACGTGACTCTCTCTCTCTCTCTCTCTCTCTCTCTCTCTCTCTATATATATATATATATATATATATATATATATGTATACGTGCATTTTCCCCCGACCGTCGCGAGTGAATAAAAATTGCGGCCGCACGATATCGCGTCGCTAATAATGAACGAAATGCTGAAATATCTACCGTGACATCTTGTTGAACTTAAATACGTTATGCATCGCCGAGACCGCGATGTCGCTCCTTGCCGATGCAAAAAATATTTTCCCTCCGCGGTACGTCGCTGCTCCGGCGATACACACGTGGATAACCGATACATGATACGTGAGAACTCGCGTATTTCGCGTGCACACTTTAGACGTTCTCGCGATGGAAAAATTTGGCGCGACGTGCGATTACGATGGCATCGATTTTTAAAGAGAGCGCGGAATCGCTCTCGCACGAAATGTCGGACGAAATGCGGATCGGTCTTGAACACGTACGGGTACGATCCATCTATATATGTGTATTTGTGTGTGTGTATAATCACGAGACTTCGGCGAGCGGATCGAATTCTCTCGCGTTGCGTTTCGGAGAAGACGGAATTTCCAGTCCAAATGAATTCCAAACTGCGAACGATTCGAAGAATGCCGGGGCAATCGACGCGAGAGAAATGACTTTCTATCCGGACGGAATCTCGATTAACTAACCCGCAGTGCTATTTTTTCATTAATATTGTTGCGAATCGTGCGTCGGCGAAGGAACGCATATCGATATCAATCGATATCGAGTGACGAGCTACTAAAAATTTTGTGCTAAATTCGCATACGCTCGAAGCCCAGATTGCGTCCGCTTCCGATTCGCGCTCAAATTCGCGGCTAAATGAAGAAACGCATACTCAGTGGGGAAAATAATTGGTATTTGTAACACCATAACTGTACGTTATGGTGAGATAATTATAGTTAGGAGAATCACTTTTGGTGATAATCTTACATGCACATCATCCGCCGCGCTGGAAAATTCCAACGAGGCTACCATCTACGAGCGAGGAATTATCTTCCGTATCTGACTGTGCGATTTCAATTGGCTTGAATTTTAATCGAAGCGAATTCGGTCGCAAAAAAAAAGTGAGAAAAATTCAATTTCTGCGAGAAAATTTGCATATATATTCTAAGAGAGAAAGTCACCGTCCGTGTTATTTCACTCAGAGAATTATTAATAAGAACGTAAAGCGATAATAAACAACGTATCTTCCAATAAAATATTTTCAATTCAGATTGTTTTCGTTTCAACGGGCAGATCGATCACCAATCTCCGGTATGTTAAGCGAATCCGCTTCATTTGCGAGCCGGATCGATAGGAAGAAGAGTTCGCCGCTGAAAGTTCGTCAGTTCTCGTGCTTTTTGCGGGCGCAAGGATACTCGAAGAGACCCGGGGAGCCGCTAATTAAGGTGCGGTGCCCGTCGAATCTAATTTAACTAAAGTTCTCCAATGTAAACCACGCGTCAAACCGCTACGAGGAACCGCTCCGGCAGAACTTCCCCCTTGCCGGATGACGCNGGGGGGGGGGGGGGGTGAACGAAGAGGAGGCGCGGGACGAATCTTAGGCGAAGCGTCATCTCATACGTCTCTCTCTCTCCCTCTCTCTGGCGAACACGCGACAACCGTGAACCACGCTGCCGCACGTACGGAGCTCAAAGGGAGCCGGCGAAATTAGCGCCCTTAGTTGGGACAGATTAGAAGAGGGGCTAAACGAGTGGCCAGGACGATCGGAAATTGGTCGTCTGCGCGATTCAGACGAGAACGTAAAACTGGACTTGGCGCGACGCCAGAACGTCATCGCGAGGCGCTCGCGAATACGCCGAAATAAAAGGTCGTACATGGAGGAAATTCAAATTGACCGTGCGAAAGAGGCCGGACGTTAATGGTTGAACTCGAGAATAATCTTTATTACGTTGTGTTATACGCTGTAATGTATCACGGATAGAAATCAGTTACCAATAGCTGCAACTGCGTTCTATGAAATAAATACTTCACGGCAAAGTGTGTCGGCTTGCAGAATAGCAGGAATTTTTCTCGCGTGGTTCAACGACAGAGGGATAGAATTTCCCGTAAGGTCGAGAGTGATTTGAAAAGTTCCAAACTCGCGCTATGAAATGGCGTTGTCGAGTAAATTACTTACCGCCGATTCGTCGGTTCAATTTCCGCAAGGAGATGGCTCGACGGACGTTTCGGTGCAACGAAATATCAATTGACGCTAACAACACAACCGAACGCGCTTGCAGACAGAAGCTGCCACTTCAGCTCCAATCGTTGTACACATCGTACGAAGTTCATGCACCGTCCCAACCGAGTTCAGTGTTTTTACCGCCGTGAAACACGAGTATGTCGGTTTACCATACTTACGTCAACTTTCGTGCTTTTCCTCCATACGTATCGATATGCGCGAAATTAAGAGAAAGCTGCCCGACTGTTTCGAAATGGAACTTTCCGTCCTAACGACGGATCAAATCGACGCTTGTCGTTGACTAGACGACCGGCGTCTAGACGATGGCGGGTTGTTATTATTAAGGATCACAACGTGGTTAATTTAATGATTTCGTGTTTAATTCATTCGTTCGACTGACGCGGCGACCGATCGACGAGAGTCGCGCAATTAACCTTAATTTCCGTCGCTTTCGTTATTAATGGGTAAAGCCCGGGATAATTATATGTGTTTATGCCGGTTTACAATACTGATTGATAATTATAATTATACAATGGATAATCGTTACGTCCGCCGGATCTGAACGCTGTTCCGCGACGGACGGTAATGCTCGCTTTAACCGCACGATCACGTTACACTCAGCGTGTCGTAATAACAATAACGGCAATAACGGTGATATAAGATGCATTGATCAACGGAAGCGAAGCAAAGACGCGCTCAGACTCACCTTTGTAATAAAAGAGGCAGTACTCGGAGAGCACGAACCAACGTTTCTTCCAGAGCATGAGACCCTCCGAGCCCTGCTTGTGCAACCAGCCCTGAAGCGCAACGGGGGCGGAGAGGGGTCTTTTCGCGGCGGGCGAGCGCAGCCCTTGAGGGCCGCTTCGTCTACGCACCCCCGACACAGAAGCCGCCACCCCCGAGCCATCGTGCTTACTACGTACCTGGACGGGTACGGGCGGCGTGGGAGACTGGACAATCTGCAAAATGAATGCAGAAAAAAAGGGACTTTTAGCCCGCGAATCTTTCAGTCGCAAATTTCACCGTTCTTAGGTTGGAACTTTTTCTGAATCTCCCTTTCTATCTCTCTCTCTCTCTTTCGTCTCAACCAGATAGAAATTCATATTGATAAAGAAAATGTTGCTTGGGATATTTCTTGAAATTCTCACAAACTTTTACTTTGGATTTAATTCAAAATGCCATCCTTAAAACGCAGCACGACGCATCCGAACGGCATGGCGACGTGAGAAGATAGTTGGATCTTTTATTACGCGACACCTCGAAAATATATTTCACCGCGACATCGCGGAGTGGTGATTTAAATGACAAAAACGCGCGCGTCACGACGCGCACTACGTTGGAAGGTATCAAAAGGTATGAGGGAAAAAGACCAAAACGACTTTAAATATCCGCGACGGGAACGACGATAAAACAATCCCGCGAGATCGATCGGAAACCAGATGCGATAAATCCTCGGTGAAATTTGAAATCGTTCCTTCGGTGTGCCGCGGTCAGCGCGCGACCGAGATCCCGACGCTCTTTATACTCGTCATGCCTTCCCCGAGCGGATCGAAATCCGCTTTTCCGCTTCCCGACGACGCGTCGCATTATCGCGAAAACTCCCTCGCCAACCGGCCGGCGAGAATTTCATCGTGCCGGAACGTGAAATGTCTATCCGATAATGAAAAGCCGCGTGGGTGAACGCGAGGGGAAAAAGGGAGAAATGAAAAAAAAAAAATCCACCGACGACAGCCCTGATCGTCATTCGCGCGCGAAATTCATCCGATTCCATCGATCTTCCTCGTCGCGTCACGCGCGCTTCACGGATAAAGAGGGGGAGGAAGGGGAGGGAGGGGGAGGAAAAAGCTCCACAGTTGACATTCGACGAATAAAAGGATCGTTAAATAACTAATTGCTCCGATAGACGTGTGTGCTAGATGCTCGAATACATTCTCGATGGCGGGCTTTTCTCTCTCTTTCTCTTTCTCTCTCTCTCTCTCTCTCTCTCAAAGGCGAGGTTCGACCGGATTTAATCCTCGGTATAGATAGAGTCGGTACATTATGCAGCTCGCTATCGATTCCTCCCGCCTGCCCATCTGATTTAAAAATACATACGCAAAAAAGTGACGTATCGGCTCCAACACAAAAGATCGGCCGCGGGTTTAGGGAGGAAAAACAGGACGAAGGTGAAAGAAAAAAAGGAGGCAGGAGAACGCTTGAAACTTCCATCTTGACGTGGAAATGAATAATTTACCTCTCTCGCCTTCTCTTCTGTCTCGGCCCAGCTGGTTTTCCCCCGGAATTTTCCGAGACGTCTCTCGGTCACAGATGAGGTACACAGCGGCGAAAGGTGGTTTACGCACGCGACATTCCCGTACGTGAAATGTCACGCGCGACGACGAGACGTTGTTGTTCCTTACGGAGTGGACGTGCGTGAGGGGTGGAGCGGGGGAGAAGGCGATATTAACATAGCTCGCGAGAAAATCTCTGAGAGAGCCCCGAGAAAATCGATACACACACCGTCGTCGTCGTCGCACCGTCGTAATTCCGCGTAACTTCGCTCCGGTGTTGTTGCTTCGCGCGTTATCGGTGCGATAAGTGATAACGATAGGTCCCGGGCGAGGACGCGAGGTTTATCCTGAAAGCGCGAGGTCCTGAGACACGTATCTTATCTCGCCTTGACGTCGTCGATTCGCGTCGTCCACGCGTCGCAGCTGGCATATCGTGTATCCGAGCGCGTCTCTACCCTCCGGAGAGAGAGGTTCCCGTCAACACGAGATGGTGGGTGCGTTTTTATCCGGAAGGGCGTAGAGAGTGGTTTCGTTGTCCGGGTAATGCCGTGTCTGCTCGATACCGGCGCGCTCTTGGAAACGCCGATATCACGCGGCCGTTGTATTTTTAAAGGCACCGCAGATGTCTTTCAGAGAACGAGAGAGAGGGAGAGACTCGTGAGAACTGCGTCGTATAGTTCGCGTGTTACGCGAACGAATATGCAATGTTAGCGAACGTATCCGAGTCGCGAATACGTTCCGGGAGACCGTAGCGACTGAGGCACGCGAGATACATCGTCGTCGGTTGACAAATATTTGTCTCGGAAAATCATAACGTTGCAACCAACGATTTCCCGGAGACTTCGTTCGGAAAGATAGTCGCGTCCCGATATGACGAAGAGGAAGGAAATGATGTCGCGAGGCTTTCCCGACGAGACTTTTCCGTCTCAGCGTCACTCGCGCTCTCGAAAGACACACACGTTGAATTGCGCAACGATACACAAATGTTCGTCAAGAGGGAATCTTGCGCATCATCGGCCCGATCACCTAACGTTCTTTTGAACCTGACGATCTCGCGAGTTTTTTCCCAAAAGAGTAGAAAGAAAGAGAGAGAGAGAGAGAGAGAGAAAATCACGCGGAGGATGCAACGTGCAAGAACATTAGCGTTCATTTCTGACGCGTCGTCGCCCGTGAAATCTCGCCTCCGTGCGAAATTTCCCTTATTCGAGCCTCCGTTGAGTCTACGAAAAAAGCCGGGACACGAAAGAGGAATCACCCGAATAATCCGTTAAATTGCGGGAGCTCGCGCCACGACGACGGGAAGCGAGTAGGTGCGCGTCCTCTCGGCCGAGAAGACGAAATTCCTGTGAAGATAGCGTTCACCCATTATTCTCGTCCGTCTATCACGGCGGAAAGAGTTCTTAACAAATGGACCTCCCAAAAAAACAAACAAACAACGACCGTCATGAATACGCCTGTTTTCTTTGAATTACGCAGTAGATTCGATCGCCTACCGATTTATCTACGTTTGCCTATCTATTATTCTTGTTTATTCACCGAGCAAAATTTCGTAAAAGTTCACATTTCGGGGCGGTAACTTCGCAGAAGACCCGAAACCCCCGTCAATGTGCGCGCGAGTTCCTCGCTGATCCCGTGAAGAAAACTTACTTTCCGCGGAACTGGAAAAGCGGCCGAACTTTCGCGGTCGGTACTGTTTTTTTTTTTTTTTTCGTGTATTCTCTCTCTCTCTCTTGTTCCCACACAGCGTCCATTAAATCACGGCCACCGCCGTGATTCGTATCGCTCGCCATTACACTGAACGAGGTAATCGTCAGGGCGTTAATTCGTGCGATGCTCCTAATTGGGGGGGCACAACGCGGGCGAGGTTTCGCGCGTTCCCCTCTGCCGTTCTCGCTCGCTCGCAGCGACCCGCCGTCACCCGCATACGATTCATTAAACATCGCGGTTACGAACAGTAGGTAATAATCGATCGCGGGAACGACCGTTAATTACGATCCGTGTGCGTCGCGACAATTTGGCTCTTCCCCCCCCCCCTCCCCCGACGCGGTTTCCCCGTGATTTAGTTGGTTCTCCTCTCCCGCCTCGTAAGATAGATTCTATTGCGACGGTTACCTCGGGAGAACGATATCGGGGAATGGTGTGCCGGGTGTATCCGAGGATAATCGTCGAGTGAATAATACGGAGGGTTCGGAAGCAACGTGTCACTTGTAACGTCGTTACAAGCAAACGGCTCTTTCGGTAACCACGACGTAACGACGTTATTTCTTTTCTTTTTTCGTTGTTTTCAAATGACTCGTTTTAAATGACAGTAATGCAATAGACTAATGTGTGATACATCGAAAGCATGATTTACCTTCTTGTTGTCCATCCCGGGCGTCGAGTTGGTCACCGGCTGGTCGAGCCTGTAACAAAAAAAACAGAAAGTGATTTTAGAACGCCCGACATTCCGACGTGCATCTTGTAATTATATTCGCATCGCATGTGTTTTTGTATTTTCGCGTCGTTCCTCCGTCGTTACGATCATTAAGTCCGATGCGGTTCCGTCATAAAAATTTCCTCCACCGTCACCCCCTCCCCCATCCAACGCTTTTCGTTATTTCGTAATACCCTCCGTTATCCTGGGCGCATCCGCTTTTAAAAATAATCGCCTTAATGACTGTCGAGTCGATCGTCACTTTTCCGCTTCCACGACTTGCAGACGAATCTCGACCCCGATTCTCAGACAATACGCTCGGCTATGCGCTTCAGCGTTTCGGCACGAGAGTATCGAAAATTTATCGGTCACTCCTACGGAAAGGCCGACGATCGATATCGCCGCGGCGGGAGGGGAAGAAAGATCCCGAAATGAAAGTTTCATTCGGTGAGCCTTCGCTCCCCGGGGGAGGTCAATTTATCCAGAGATGATCGGATATCGGAATAATACCGTGCTGCGTAAAAATGCGTGTCCCTCCTTCGGAGAACCGTGCGACTTCATGATTAATTAATATTCTAAACCATTCTCGTACGTGCCCCCCTCTTCCGTACCGCGTAGAAATTTTCCCCGATTTTGCCTTGCAACAAAGGCACCGAATTAATTTACACGCCGGATAGAATCCGCAATTATTCGGTGAAATCGATCTATGCGACTTCCTAAGAAACATTCTATGCGTTTTCGACAAGTCCCCGGTATAGAAAATCTACTCGTAGCGCGCGGACTCGCGCATTTCCCGGGATCCTTCTTTTTTTCGAAACATTTCGAGATCCTTTTATTTTAAGCCTCCTTTCACTATCGCGCGGACCCAACGCTGCGAGCGCACTCCCGGTTTCAATGGCATTTGGCGTGCCAGTGGCGGGAGGATCAACAAACTACGCAAAATGCCCTTCTGTGCCGCGTAGTCGTGAAGCTAAATGGATACCTGCAAAGCGCATAACGCGCCATCACTTTTTATTACTCGAGAGCCGCGCGTCGGAAAGTGCGTCGCGCCGGAGCAGCGCAACGTGACGCGCGGAGTCCGAAAAGTCGGTTAGTGCCGCGCGCGCGAGATCGATTTATCGTATTCCGGCAATTTTATTCCGAGATGGGCGCGTAGACCCCCCGTAGGTTCCTCTCACTCGACGCACGTGACCGCGAGATGACGCACGCACGCACGCGCGTCGTTCGCAATGAAAATTCGATTCGACGCGATTCTCGCCGCCGTGCGGCTCGGTCGGCATTAATAATCGGTTTTATAGCGTGATTTATCGCGCGGGATCGAACATCGTAAGGTTTGCAAAATAAAAAAAAGATCGAAACGGAGCTGTCTATGACTCCTAAATTTCCGAACTGCTTCTCGGCGTCGACGATCGAAACGGTCGGTAATTTTTCAAACGGACCCTTCGCTGAAACTACCGTCGTCATCGTCGCCATCCAAGTATAATGAGCGTTTATCTGGTATCGTGCCAAATATGGTGTTCAATATTAAATGGCGATCGATGCGGAAATATCGCCGCAATATTCTCGCGTGTCCGCTCTGAAAGCCCACTTCGGACGATCTATGGATTCACGACGGTAAATCGGGATGACATGCCATCCGTTCTTTTTCGCAGAACTGCCTGCGCTAGCTCGCACCATTCTCTCCCCCTTTTCCTCCACCAAGTCTTAACTGTAGATCTGTTTCTTTTTAAATTCTATGAATGTACACTACCAGTTCAACGGAAGAGTACAGACCTCGTGTGATAGATAATACGAACTCTTTTTAAATAATAAAATTCGCAAGATTAAAGATAACATGACGCGGACTGGACTTTCCATCCCGATACTTTCTGTCGAGTATACGCTCACGCATCGCCTTTCCTTCTTCCTCCGTTTGCTAATCGTGGAACCAGCAGTCGATCCGACGACGAGCGAGGCGACGTAATCGAGTCGCAAATCGCCGGGTCGCGAGAGAGCCGACAGCTTGCCGAAACCGCAGATTCGATCGAACGTCCCTTCGTTCCGTTTCCCATCCGTCCCGTCCGCTTCACGGCGAAGTTGCTCGCTCGACATTAGCCCAATCGCGCTTACCCGGGCGATAAGATAATCGACTGTAACGGCGGAACGACGTGCCGAGACGACGCACATCGACGTCGGCGGAATGATTAATGTTGTTAACGTCGTCGTGCCCCAAAGGCAACGGTGGAATAGCGTCTAAATGAAATTCTAGACACGCTCCGTGGCTCGCTTCCCCCGATCCGCTTTCGCAATCCGCGGCCGCACGCGGTCTTAATGACTGCCCTTAATTGGCGCAAAATTGCTGCACTAGTGACTGGTCCGGCGCTCGAGATAGAGGAAGAAAGGCGAGATACCGGCGTAACTCTCGAGTTCACGACGTAATTAAAAACCAATGTACTAAACCGCATCCGCGCGCCTCTAATGGAGTTGTTTCCATCCCGGGAATCGTCCTTGCTTCGGGCCGCGTGCTTGAAAATCCGAGTCTTCGTGAAAGGCACGAGCGTTATCGATTCTCTTCTACATTTTTCTTTTCCCCTCCTCCTTTCTTCTCTCTCTCTCTCTCTCTTTTTTAATGATCGCGATAATCCCCCGTGCTGCGAACGTGCGGCGCTGTAAAGTCGAGATAAAATACGGAAGCGGCTGTGAAGCGCGCTGTAAAATCGCAATGTCCGTGCGCGCGCTTATGCCGCGACGCGATAAATCCGTTCAGTCTGGGGTAAATCTGACGATGCCGCTTGTTTTCAGATTTTAATCGGCCGAGAAAAATGCATCCGGAGCCAGACTGGCAGACAGACGCGCGACGTGTAAAGTGATCGTTCCAGGACTGAATGTCTACGACTCAGAGCTGAGATTGTTTAAAATCGTATATTTAATAATAGTTACTTTCGGTGCCACCAATATCCTTGTGTTATTTCAACCGCAGAAATAATGAAGAGAACTATTTTTCTAGCAGGCGTTACTATGATATCACTAGTGTTACTACAAATGATAAATAACGTGCATGTCGCTACTGTTTTTGCGGTTAAAATGACAAAAGAATATTGTTTGACGCCGAAAATAAGCATAATGTTCTTTCAGTGCGTGATATCGCATGTATTATTCTTATACCGAATACACCGTGGATATACGCAACATACTGAGAACATTCCCGCAACATTTCTCATGGTGTATCCTATCTCGTATATTCGTGGGATATACGCAGGATATAGAAGCTTAGAATACGATATTCTCCCAGTATATTACATATATTCTCAGTATGTTCTCGGTGTATTCTGTACGTACCTCGAATATTCGGTAAATATATAAGCTTCTGTTTGCGAAAAAGCAATATATTTCTAGTCGGGAACGTTAATATGATTTTAGCTTTTTTAGCACTTGAATTGCAAAAATTAAGTTAACAAATTTAGCTGCGGCAACAGCGACATAAACTGTCCCTATTTCAAATACCACCTCTTAGTTGCCACATTCTAGCCCAGACGGCTGGTTTTTTCTCTGAACGTATAATCGATAATCGTTAGTTGCAAGAGATAAGCCATGAGAATACGCGCGCCTCGCGTGGGTGCCTTTGCGGAGGCTTGCGTAATTTTCTCGGCGTTGCGACAAACGTGTCGCGACGTTGAAAGCACCAGGTGCGAGGCCGATCGTCGGCAAGTAGTGTGTATACGAGGCGATACACGTGTGACGCGCGTAAAGTAATACGGAATTTAGGTGCCGGCGAACTTGGCTGTCACGTTGACGGAAACAAGCAGACACCGCTGTGTCGCACTCGGCATGCAGCCGTACGCGTTACTTTAGCGCCAAAATTGGGTCGCCGCGATGCGGCGCGATGCGCCACGATATCGCCCTTTGATGTAGCTCGACGTGTACACTCATTTACTCGCAGCGCGTGCTGAATGCACGACGCGCGTCGTCGTCACGCGACCATATCAACGGCAATGATCTTTTCAAGCAGGGAAATACTTCTTCCCTAGCCCGGATAGCAAGAAGCTAAGGCACAACTGTCGCTTTGCATTTCACTTGTTTCTCTTCTCTCTCTCTCTCTCTCTCTCTCTCTTTATTGTCCACCAATATTTCTATTAACTAGGAAAAAGAAGCACAAAAAGATATTTACACAGTGTTAATCAACAACAGAGGAGAAATCGATTAAAATTGCTAAGTAATTGTTTTTCCTCGAGCAAAAGATAACTTTTTTCTTCCTTCGAATAAAAGATAATTCTTCGACACAAATACACAGAAGTATCTTTTATATGAAATATTGCATTAGGTGTGTAAATTAATTTAGTGCTTTCGTTATCAAAAGTCAGGATATATTTATCATTGGAAGAGATGTGCAATTTTAATTATCGAAGTAATCTCCGTTGTTATCGATGACCTTACAGTTACCGTTTATTGGGCAGCTGTTGGATTCTATCGCGATGAAAACTCAGCGGTTTCGAATCAATAAAGTCATCGATACTCCAATAAATTAATTTATGAAATTAATATGTTAAATTTTCTCTCTTTTAACAAAATTCGACATTTCGAGACTCAGCGGTGCCAACGTTCGATTCTGAGAATTGACGTTAATCCACGCTGACAGATGAAATTCTGTGGAGCGCCTTCGGGTCTCGATCGCCAATATTAGCCGAAGAACCGCGAGGTGACGTGGGGAGAACGCGTTTGGTGTACTTTGTGCGTTTATTGTCGCGCGGTAGTCGCGTTACGGGCGTATTTAATGTACGTAACGCGCGCGGCCGGGTTGTAATAAAATTAGAGTAGTTACGCTCGAATATGTACGTTGGACGGCGACGGCAGGGACGGGTACGAGGACAAAGGTAAAACGTACAATTAAAAACGCATGCGACCGCTCGGACGCCCATGTAAAAATGGGAGTTTAATGCGGTCCACCGAGCCGTGCCATGTGCGCGGATTAAATACGCTTCAAACTCGCGACAGTAATTGCGTTATTAAAAC